TCCAAACCCTGGGCCCCTCTTGCTATTTCAAAGCCAGTTTGTTCTTTTGTTTTTTTTGGTGCCAGGGATGGAACCCAGGGGTGCATACCACTGAGCCACGTCCCCGGCCCTTTCTAGATTTTATTTTGAGTCGGGGTCTCGCTGAGTTGCTGAGGCCGGTCCAGAGGCAGTTTGGGCAGAGGGGCCCTGCTGGTGGAAGGGACCCCGGGCCAGCCTAGCTACACATTTGCTTCTATCCACACCTTGCACAGGCCTGAAGGGCCCACAGTGACCCCATCCTCGTAGGTGGCAAAGTGGCAGGAAGCCACAGCATCTGAGGGCATGGGTGGGGGCAGCCCCAGTGGTCAGTGCTGTCCCTGTGGCCTTTACTCCTCACACAGGGGGAGGGGCAGTCTCACTCCTCTTTTACCCCTGGGGAAACTGAGGCCCAGAGAGGTGGCAGGACTTGTTCAAGGTTACCCAGCTAGTAAGTGGCAGAGCTGGGCCTTCAACTTGGGTCTGGTACCAGGTCACCTGCTCTTTTCACAGCTGTGTGCCCAGAAGGAAACCCAGGGGGCTCGTGGTGACCCCAGGACTGTCTTACCTGTCCATGTGGCCTGAGGTGGGACACTTCGTTCCACCAGGCCTCGGTGTGTTCATCTCTAAACTGGAGTGACATTGAACTTAGTGGCTTGCGACATTTCCTGACGTCAGTCTTCCTTGCTGGGCTGGCAGCTCCGGGGGGCCTCAGTGGTGGCTCTTTAGCCAACAAAGCACGTGGCATTGGCAGTCACGGGTCCCATGTGTCCGTCTCGACAGTGCAGTGACGTGGGTCTGTACCACTGAGCCCATTTTACAGATGAGGCAGCCGAGGTGCAGAGAAGGGAAGCTGCTCTGCCATGGCGAAGGCTGGTGGAGGTTGGTGGAGACGGACGGCCGAGGCTCATCCCTGTCCTCCCAAGCAGGTGTCACTCTGGACCCCCTGCTTCAAGGAGGCTGCGGGGTCTCAGCCGCGGCATCGAACGTCGTAGTTAGGGCTGGCAACAAGTTTAGCTCCACAAGGCGCCAAGAAGATGTCACTTTAATGTGCAAAGCCTGTGGCCCCCTCCACCCCAGCCTCCCTGACCCTGGCCTCTGCCCCCAGGGCTGGATTCCGGCCACATCCGCGGCTCCGTCAACATGCCCTTCATGGACTTCCTGACGGCGGACGGCTTCGAGAAGAGCCCCGAGGAGCTGCGCGCCATGTTCCAGGGCAAGAAGGTGGACCTGTCCAAGCCCCTCATCGCCACCTGCCGCAAGGGTGTCACCGCCTGCCACATTGCCCTGGCCGCCTACCTCTGCGGCAAGCCCGACGTGGCCGTCTATGACGGCTCCTGGTCCGAGTGGTTCCGCCGGGCGCCCCCCGAGACCCGCGTGTCCCAGGGGAAGGGCGGCAAGGCCTGAGCCCGGCCTCTCCTGGGGCACCGGCTCCGGCCAGGTCAGGGGTCCCGTGTGACCCACGGCTGGTCCCTAGCCAGGCAGGTGGACGCGGTTTTTAGAATTGCCCTTCCCCCACACTGGAATAAAGCGCCTTTTCCAGAGCCTGTCTGCGGTCTCCCTCCACCCCGTCCCTGTCCCCACTTCACCCCCAGACTCCTTGGCCTCCACCCGGCAAGAAGCCGCCCGAGCCCCCCCCCCCCGCCCCCCGCAGCTGGGGGAGCCGCTCAAGGGCCACTTCCTTATTCAGCCACCTGCGCCCCGGGTCAGGTGGACTTTGCCCTGGAGCATGGGGGACCTACGGGGGCCAGAGAGGTGAGCCAGGGCCAGCCTGGCATCCCCCACTCCTGCCATGGGCCCAGCCCCTTGTGCGGAGGGGAAGGGGACAGCCAGCCTTCCAAGTGAGTGTCCCCAGGTGGCTCAGAGCCCAGGGCCTCAGAAGCAAGAGGCAAGCAGCCTCCACCGTGGGCCTCCTTCCTGGCTCAGTCAGACCTTCTGGGGCGCCATGGGGGAGGGGGTGGAAGGCCGCTGGGCCTGGCGTCCAGTTGGGAGGCCCCCGGAGGGGAAGCTGCCAGGCGGGTGGCCACAGGGCTGGATCCCGAGTTTCCCAGAGAGTCCTGAAACCCTGGTGGGGCTGCAGGGCGGATTCCAGCCCCTACGGGGTCCCCTCTTGTCCCTCTCCTGGTTAGACAGAGTCTCGAGGGCAGGGCCGCGTCTGAGCCCGGAGTGGGCACTGGTGGAGACTGGCTGGGGCGCCCAGGCCCTCAGGCTCTGCAGAGCCCTCGCCTCAGGTGGCCCTCCTCAGGCTACTTCAGGGGCAGCCTCAGGAGTGACGGTGGCTCTGCCGCCATCTGCTCCTCCTGTCACGGCCGCTCCATCAGCACAGTTATGGGCACCTGCTGTAGGTCAGGTACATCCAGGTGCCAGGGCTGGGCAGGGGACACAGCAGTCCTCCTGCCACCTCCCACAGGCTTACCACAGGACACTGTGTGTCAGGGGGTGGATGGTGCTGGGGACGGAGTGGAGGGCCAGGCGCTTCTCAACGCGGGGCCCTGTCCCCAAGCCCAGGTCTGGAAGCAGGAAAGCCAGCATCTGAGGGGCCAGCGCGGGGGAGAAGGGGGAGAAGTGGGACTGGGCTTGCGGCCAGCTTCTCAGCCCCGGGGCCGCGGGTGGAGGCTCAGAATAAGGAGGAGAGGGACGAGCCTTGCTGGGGGCGGTGGCCACATCGGGTTGAAGCAGGCAGAGGTTCGCGGACCCGGGCCCCTCCCACCCTCACGGTCCTTCCCGGCTCCTCTCTTGGCCATTGCCAGGAGCTGGAGGGGTCTTTAGCGGTGGACAGGATTGTCACGAGGCCAAGGTCCATTCGCGGTCGGCCTTGAGGCCCCCCGGGCATCTTCAGCCTGAGCAGGAGGGCGGGGCGGGGCAGGTCCAGCTCAGCAAGCCAACCCTGTCGTGTGGGCCTCCAGTGGTCCCCAGGTCACCATGCAGAGCTGAGCAGACTGGCCCAGCCACCAAGGCAGCACCAGAGAAGACAGAGGGCAGAGACCTGCACCCACTGGCTGTCCATAGGCCCCAGTTGAAGAGTCAGTGTTTTTAGAACAAGTGACAGGTCCCCTTCAGGTCCCCAAGGATAACTGAGGCCACCATTATCACCCCCCCGCCCCACCATATGCTACCACAGTAAAGTTGCCGGGAAACTGATAATGTACGGCCCAGCGGCGTGGTCTCCCAAATCAGTGATTTTTAAGTCCACTAAGAGCAAGTGAAGCTTGAGGGTTTATTTGGGGTTGTTGTGAACAGTCTCTGCAGGGAGCAGAGCCCTGGAGGAGGTGAAGAGGCTAGTCCAGCAGATGTCCAGGGACAGGAAGTTGCAGTGGGGGGAACAGCGAGTGCAAAGGCCCTGAGGCTGCAGTGCTTGATGTGTTCACCATGGGCCAAAGCAGCATTGGCCAAGGAGGACAGGCCAAGGTCTGGGGGGGCCATAAGGGCCATTGGGAGGTAGGGCCTTGCCGGTAAAAGGGGAGTTCAGCTTTTAATCCAGTTGAGATGGGAAATTACCGGAAGGTTTGGGTTAGAGCAGGGACAAGGTTCAACTTTGGTTTTACCAGGATCACTGCCTGCCGAGGTGAGAGAAGATCAAAGGACAGTGGTGGAGGAGTCCAGCGTGGTCCCGGTGGACTGTCCTGTCCAGTGTGACCTTCTCCCTCAGAGTGGGGGTGGCCACTGCTTGCACCATCAGAATGTGGCAAGGGAGGCAGGTGGCACTTTGGCGCTATGGCATACACGACTGTCGTGTTCTGTGGGGAGTCTCTTTTCCTTGCTGGTTTGACGAAGGAAGGAGCGTGCGGGGCCACATAGCTAGGAACTGAGGTCGGCCTCTGGGTGACCAGCAGGACGCTTGGGCCTTCAATCCAAAGGCCTCCAGGAACCGCGTCGGCCAACAAACAGGGCCACAGTGTCATCTGAGCCCCGCTCCCCGCAAGGCCGAGGCAGGAGGATCACGGGTCTGAGACCCGCCTGGGCAGCTCAGCAAGACTCTGTCTCAAAACCCACAACAAAGGGCTGGGGACAGCTCCGTGGTGAGCAGCGTGCAGGAGCCCTGGCTCCGTCCCCTGCTGGGAGGAAACCCTAGTCCCTCTGCTGAGCTTCTAGGGCCCTTCAAGTTCCAGCCCTAAGGGCCCCCTGCGAGCCCTGAGCCCGTTCCCTCGGCAGGGAGTCACGCGCCCTACTGATTGCTTCGGGCTCCCAGGAAGGTCCTCTGCCCTTGGTGGCCTCTGTCTAGCACCCAGCCTGGCATTGGTACGCAGAGACCCCTCCCGTCCCCTCAGGCCTGGCCCCTCATCCCTAGGGGTGGGCCGGCCGGTGCTCTGAGGTCACAGAGCCCTACGGGGTTGCCATGGCAACTCCAGTGAATAATTGGGAGGACTCCCTTCAGCATCCGCCCTTTGGTCTGCCCCCCTAGCTGTGCAGTTTGGGTCAGCCCTCTCAGGCTTCGGTGGCCCCGGGGCGGTTTGCGTGCTTTCCGACGTTATGAGAGACACTGGAGAGGTAAGGCAGAGGGGTGAGGGGGCCGGGCTCCCCAGGGGTGGGACGTCACCTGTCTTCTCCCCACTCAGAACTGCTTGTGAGTGACAAGTGCCCAGCTGCAGCCAGACCTACCCCCCCTCCTCCTTGACCAAGACCTCTTGGGACATTCACTCCAGGTCAGAACGTGGCAGTGGGTCCTCGCTTCTGCGTCAGCTGGTCCAGTACTGGGCAGTACTTTAGAGGGAGACAGGGAGCGGGGGTGGGGTGGGGGTCACATCAGGTAGGTGACGGAAGTGGAAATCTGACCTAAAGGAACCAACTTGAACTTGAACTGACTGACTAACTTGGAGCTGGGAGAATGGCTTAGTCTGTGCACCATCTGGGTGAAGTCCTGTGGTTTGGCTTCTCTCTCTCTTGTCCCCGGCTTCCCCCCTTCCCCCTCCCCCTCCCTCCCTTCCTCCCTCCCTCCCCCTTTCTTTCTCCCCCCCATTTCTTTCTCCCGTGCTGGGGACGGAACACAGAGCTAGGCGCACATTTCTCCTGCGGAGCTACAGCCCTCCCCCATCTCTCTCTGAGCCTGGGCAGGTAAGTTCACGTTTACTGTGCGCACCTCGGCGAGTCCCCGAGAAGACGCCATCTCCTGGATGTGGGGTGCTTGACATCTGAGTTGTGTCAGCATCTTTTACTGCATAACAAGTCACCCCCCCACGTGGCGGCTTCCAATGACAGCGTCGATGACCTCACAGTCCTGTGGGCCTCGGCGGGTCATGGCTGCCGTCAGGTGCTGTGGGCTCCTGAATCCATTTCTTAATTTTACATCTTTTGGCATCTGGAGAGGATGAGATCTTCAGCACTGTGACGCTTTGGAGCCTGTGGCTTGATACTCTTCCCTCACATGTCACCACAGCGGGAGGGGACCCGGGGCTCTGGCAACACTGAACCCCGCAGCCGGTTGATCATGCTCCGCTCTCCACGTAGCTAAGTTTCTGCCACTTCAAAGGGCAGAGCTCGTCTTCCTCTGAGCTCCAATAACGTCCTCGTTCCCCTCTGCGCCCTCCCTGGCAGGGCGGCGTCCTCCCAGGCCAGACTTCTGCCCGTTGTTGACTATTTAAGGAGAGGGGCCTTTGCCCTCCTGCTCTCAGTACCCTACAAGGCTCTGCCTGCGCGTGGCCCCCGCCACCCCACATTTGCAGGCGTTTGTTGCACAACACCCAGCTCCTGGCGCCGACGCGTATTTGCCGTCTCCTGCTGTGAACAAGTGGCCTCAGCTCGGCAGCTGGCCCATGTGCTTGGAGAGCACCAGTCCGTGTGCTCACGGGTTCTGTGGTCAGGACCCTGGTGGGGACCCGAGGGGTCCTCTGGCTCAGGGTCTGCCGTCTGGGCTGTGTTCTCATCCAGGGACCCACTCCCAGGGCACTCAGGTGGCTGGACCTGCTCCCCTCTTGAGGACTGTGGACGAAGGGCCTATCTTCCTCATGAGGGTCGGTCAGAGGCCACCCTCAGCCCTTGCCACGCGGGCCCCTTAAAACACAGCAGCTGCCGCCCGCAGAGCGATGGAACCAAGAGAGATGCCACCCACCTCACCTGGAGGTGACCTCCCAATGCTTCTGTCATGTCCTTTTGATCAGAGCAAGTCACCAGGTCCAACCCACACCCAAGGGGAGGGGACAACACCGTGTGAGAACACCAGGTAGGAATCACTGGAAGTCGTATCGGAAGCTGGGCCATCACTGAATAAAAATTAGGATATTTCGTGGTGCGGCACTTGGAGCCCAGGGCCCCAGGCAGGCTGGACAAGCCCCCTACCGCTGAGCTGCAGCCCCCGCCCCCGTCATAATTATGAAAATTCAAAATTAATAGGGTGTTTTGCTTGGCAGTTTTTCAAGGGAATAAAATTGATCTGGTTCCTACCTGCTTGGAGCTTACCAGCAAACCAGTGTGCTGGGTGACTTTCACAGGTCTCTCTGCCTCTCTGGGTCTTACTCCTCCAAGATGCCGGGCAGCGCCAGCTGTTGGTTCATTCACACTGTGGCAAACCCCGAGAGTGATAAGAGGATGTAGATAAGGAGATGGGAGAAGGATGGAAGCCCGCCCTCAGAGAGGAGTCCCGGGCGGTTCCGCTCTGCCCTTCCAGGCTGGCTGGGCGCTTCCCTTCCCTCCCCCTGAAGGCTCCCTGATAAAAGGGGTCAAATCCCGTCTGCAGGGGACGTCGTTCCTGGGTGGCGACTGGGTGATGTGCGCCGAAGCCAGGGGTCTGCTTGGGCTCCGGGGGGGGGGGTGCAGGGAGTGAGGAGCTGGGGTCCCGAGGCTCGGTGACAAAGGCCCTGAGGCCCTGCTGCTTCTGTGTCCAGGGCTCCCTACAGAGGGCAGAGCCTGCAGGGGCCTGGGGGGTGGCCCTGTGCCAGGCAAATGGGTGGCTCCGGGGACCCTGGGGACTTGGTGTGCCAAGGGGCACCAGCAGCAGCTCCGTGAGCCGGGGAGGAGCCGCCGGGGCTCTGCAGCCGTGTGGCCGGGCTCTGCTAGGACCCTGTTGATGGACACTGTCATCTGAGACGCTGAACGTCTGCTTTGTCTGCAGGACTGACCTTGGGTTACCTGTCCCAGAGCAAGAGTCCATGGAGCTAGGCCCCCGAACAGGTAAGACAGGGCGCAGGGACACGCGAGGGCGCGTCCAGGGCTTCGAGGGGCTCCCTGGGGGTGGCCGGGAACTATCCCCACTTCAGGTCCCTCGTCTCAGGCACTCAGGGCAGGGAGAACGCAGTGAGGGACCTAGCTGCCCTGGGTGGGGAACGGGGCAGGCCCCAGGCTTGGGTAGCACGGGGGCGGGGGGGGGGGTAGCACAGCCGTCAGAGTCCCTGAGAGGGAGACGGAGCCCAGGGAAGCTTCGGCAGCCTTTTCTGTAAAGCTGACCTGGAGCAGGCCGGACACCCAGCAGTGGGGCGGCGTCCAGGCCCCGGGATGGCCCTGTGCCAGGCAGTTGGGTGGCCACCGTCTGCAGGGGGCCCGGGCTCTGGGCTGTTTCCTTAACAGCGAGTTACAAAGCACAGCACGGAACCTGATCTCGTTTATAAACAAAAGGAGGCAGAACCAGCCTCTTTCAAGAGGCCTGCAGGACCCTTCTAGAATGTTTAGAGGGACGTCCCCAAGCGTGTAGCCTGGGCTGAGGATGGGGCGGCCGTGGGGGCCCGGCCTCCAGTTTGTGGAGTGGGAAGGAAAGAGGGACCATCCTTGGGGCTTGGACTCAGAGTTGCGGTCCAGCCGGTTCCCAGGGGCCCCGGGACTGCCCGTCACTAAGGGAGAGCAGTGGGGGTTAGACCGTGAGCCGGGCCCCGGGTTGGCCGGGGGACCTCGGTGTCCAGATGAGAGCAAATGGGCGTCTCGGCCTGGACGAGGGTGGCGCCTCTCGAGCCCCCTTAGCGTTGGCGCACCCACTCTCCCCTGATCACCCTGTGCCTGCTGCGATGGCCAGGGCACTCCCCCCGGGGGTCTCCGTGACCCTCCCCTTCTCTAGCAGGGGACAGCCGACTGCCCCCTGTAGGCGGAAGCGCAGCCTCCTGAGAGAGACACACTGTGTGCCGGGAGCTGGGAGCTGGGGTGCGGCTGGCCTGCTGCTCGGGTGGGTGTCGGGGGGACTTGGCTGCATTTGGAGGAAAGGTGGGATTTTGACTTAGAAAAGCAGGGACTCTCCTTCCAGGGAGTGGGACGTTATAGGGCTTCTGGGGACGGTAGGGGAGCCGCTCCTGGCTGGTCTGGAGCCAGGGTGAGGGCAGGGAGCTGCTGGCCCTGGGGTCAGGGGCGGATGGGGGGGACCAGGTGGGGATGGGGGGGCGGCTGGAGGGAGGACGGGGTGGGCGCTGGCGAGCTGAGGCCTTAGCTCTGGCTCTTTCTTGGCGTGTGACTTGACTAAGCCGAGAATTCTGCCAGTCCCAGGGCTGCCGAGGCCCTGGGTGGGTGGCTGCAGGTTCACCATGAGGAAGGGAACTGAGGATGCGGCGGAGGCAAGAGCCCAGGGAGGCCAGTCCTCCTCAAGGCCACAGGCTGGGCCTCAGGGCTGGCCAGCGGGTGGTCATAGCAGCGTGGGGACCCCGTGCTGGGCCTGGCTGCCAACGGGCTTCTCCCGCCCCTCTCCTTCCTCCCCCTCCCTCTCCCGGGTTTCTGGGCTCTGCCCCCCTCCCTGCCTCTGCCCTGCCCTGCCCCCCTCTTCCTGCTCTGTCCCTGTGTTCCCTCCTGTCCCTCTGTCTCTCTGCCCTTCAGGAGCAACCACTTTGGCCCACCTGAACAACAAGGAGGCCCAGCAGGACGCAGTCCCCTGGGGCGCTGCCTGCAACTCCCTGGACCCCTCCAAGTTCAAGTACCAGGTCCCCCTCTCCCCGGGGAGCACCCAAGGCAGCTCCCTGGAGTGCGGCCACCCGGAGATCCCTCCTCCGCCTCCGAGCGCGGCCAGCCGGGACCCTCTGTGTATGGACCCACCGCCGAGGGCCCTGAGAGGGGGCACAGAGGGGGCTCAGCCGAATGAAGGCCCCAAATCCAGGACCCAGGAGCACAGGGGGGCGCCCGTGAGCCGGAAGAGCAGTGCCATTCCTGAGAACATCCGCCACAAGTTCGGGAGCAAAGTGGTGGACCAGCTGGTTTCTGAGGAGCAGGTGTCCAAGCAGGGGACAGGAGGAGGAGGTGGGGGAGGGCTACTGGTGGGGACTCACAGTGAGGGTACAGAGGAACCTGCTTCTGAGTACAGTCCCCGCGGCAGCAGATTAGAAGGCAATGTTTAGTGAGCACCTGCTACGTGCCAGGTGCTGGGCTCGGTTCAAACTCCTCACAGTGACAACTCATTTCATCCTTCCAACGACCCTGGGGGAGGTGCTATTATTACCCCTTCCCGGTTGTGTGGAACAAGGACCCAGTCTGTGATGGCAGGTTCTGGAGCCCTGGCTCTGGATGACATTGCAATGATGAGCCTTTTGTTTGAAACTGGATGTTTTCAACTTGAACGAGTCTCCTAGAGACGGAGCATCCAGCGGACAGGCACTTACTGGGGGTGAAAAGACCTAGGTTTGAATCCAGCTTCTGCCCGTGAATGCTGAGTGACTTTGGGTAACTTACTTTGCCTCTCTGGGCTTCAGTCTCGACTTCGGTACCGTGAAGCTGTCAGACTAGGTCAGGGTGACAAACTCACGGCCTGCATGCCCCACGCTCCCAGCCTGCCTTCATGGCAGACATGACCAGTGGCTGCCGGCATTCTTGCGGCCGACGTACCCTTCTAGGCAGCCACTACTGAAGCTTGAGATGACTTCTGCCTTCCGCTGCTGGTCAGGGGCTACCGTCCCTCCTGCGCTGGCTTTGAGGCATATTTTTGAAGCCATTTGACCCTCATCGCACCTCCAGGCCAGGCGGGAGTCACCGCTTCCATTTTTAACCGAGGGTAAAGCCAGAGCTCAGCCGGGTGAGGATCTGCTTGGGGGTCCCACTGTGCTCACAAAGACTGCAAGTCAGGCCCTGCCCATTTGTCACCTGGAGGCCAGCAACTCGGCCCATCAGACAATCTGGGAGATTGCCATCTCCTACCTTCTGTGCCACTTGGAGGGACATGTTGCTGTTTGAGTTGACTGTCACTGCGTCACACTGCCCCTCTCAGCCAGGGGAAGGTGTCACTTCTCTCTCTAGCCTCCATGGTCCTGGGCTTAAATCAGGGCATCTGGTGTCCCTGCCCAGCTGTAAGTGTCCTTGAGCCAGCTGAAAGCTGCTCCCAAGACCCCTCCCCATGATTTGCAAGTAGAGACACGGAGGCCCCTAGAGGAGCAGGACTGGCCAGAGTCAGCAGCTGCCCCAGGCAGACCTGGACTCCCTGCCTCCTAGGCCTGAGCTCAACTCCTGGGCCTCGGTTTACCCCTGGCACCAGGGAGGAGTTGGCCTGGGTGGACGCTGAGGACTTTGACCTGTGACTGCTCAATCACAGTGGCAAGCTGGGTCTCTGGGGCTCCCGAGCTGTGTGCGCTGGGCAGGTCTGGCCTCCTAGGGTCAGTTTCCCCCTTTATAAGAGGGCAAAAGTAGTGTAACCCCATGAAGACGCTTCCTGAGGCTGCACATAGTAGGTGCTCAATGCGGGGAGTTGGGGTCCTGCCATTCCTGATGCCCCCTCCCTGGTCTATTTGGCTCCCGGCCCTGGGGGTTGGTGGGGGGCTGCAGGCTGAGGGGGATCAGAGGGAGGAGGAGTTAGGAGGGAGCTGGGGGTCGTTGCCATCCCTGGTCTCTGCTCCCTGCCCCTCGTCAGGCTCAAGGGGTCATCGGTGAAGTCTTGGAGGGCCAGAGGAGGGCAAGCTCGTGGCCCAGCAGGACCAAGAGCTCTTCGGAAATCTCCTCCATCTTTTCAGACTACTATGACCTGGGCTACAACATGCGCTCAAACTTATTTCAAGGTCAGACCAAAGGGCATGGGCAGGGCTTGTGGTCCCCAGGGGGCGGGGCAGGGGAGCTCTGGGGCTTCCACCCCCCCCCCCCGTGGGGCCAAAGAGCCCAAGGTGCACCCCATGGCGCCCACTCCAGACTCCGAGGGCTTCCTCCATGCCAGGCCTGGGGCGCTGGGAGCATCCTGTCCCCTGGCCAGCCTGTGCCCATGCAGCTGCCCCGTTGCCAGACGCCCCTCCTCGAACCTCCAGACACCCCTGATTTCTTAATCTGCCAGTCGGAAGCCCGCCATCCCTGGCCCGGGCACCTTTGGTTACAGTGACAACACAAGGTTTCTTGGGTTCAAAGCTCAGCTCTGCCACTCACTAGTGGGCCGTGGCCTCAGGCAGGATCCTCGCCCTCTCTGGGCCTCAGCTGCCTCCTCAGTGCCGTGAGTTGGTAAGGGCAGTGTGGCCCTCAGCGGGGTGGGCAGGACTGCATGAAGACTCGAAGGCGCGTGGAGAGCGCCCGGTGGAGCTAGAGCCTGGGGTGGCCCCACCTGGGGGGGACAGAAGGGTGCCCTGGAGGCCGGGCCTTTTACAAAGGGCTCTCTTGGAGCCATGGAGTCCTGTGTGGCCAAGGGGGGGACACAGCAGCTCCATTCCCAGGAAGGATGGAGATCCCTTGCTCAAGACCTCTGGGTGGTCTGAAGGGAGCTCACGTCCAGGGTGTTCTTCGGCCTCCAAAGATCCCCCCGGGCCAGTCACCTCCCTGGCCATTCCCGAGGGTTCCCTGGGTGTGCAGAAGGGCGTCCGCGGCCAGCAGGCAGGGGCTTCTCTCGGTCCCCACTCTGCAGCCCAGTGTCTTGACAGAAGGTCTGCTCTTTCTGGCCCTCGGCCCTCCCCCTTCCTCCAGCGGCCAGGGCGCCCGGAACCTGGCAGACCTCCCCTCCCTGGCGCGGGTCCCTGTCACCGGAGGAACCAGACACCCATGGGAAGCCTTTCTGGGTTTTTCTTTGAGCTTGGAGAAGGGGTGGTGCTGGGAGAGGGGAGCAGGGACACGGCGCCGATTGGCCTCCCCCTGCCCCCGGGGTCCTGCCCTCCCTTCTCTCTTGGCCAGTTGTAAACTTACAATGTTTACCTATGTGTAGAAGACCCAGCCTTTAAAACACCTGTGTCCCCATCACCCAGCCTGGCAGTGGGCACTGAGCCAAGGGTGCGCTGGAAGCCGCTCGGAACAGCTCGCACCAGCTCACAAGGCCGATTGTGCCACTTCCCTGAACTGATTGGCATAGAGACGCTGCCCGAAGTTGGCCCAGGAGCCCCATTTACACCCCGGAAATCGGCAAATGCTGTGCCCGGGCTTCGCCCTGCGGCACGTTGTGTCTGCGCCCCATCTGCACAGCCTCTTGGGGCTGCCCCCCGGGGCTGGTCATGGCACTTGCTGCCCAAGGTGGGTGAGGCTCCCGGGCTGTCAGGAGGCAGCAGGCTAGATCATGAAGGCCCTGGAAGATAGGACGCTGTGATGGTTTGGATCTGGAATGTTCCCCAAAGACTCACATGTTGAAGGTTGGTCCCCAGAGCAGCTATAGTGACAGGGAAGTGATGGGATCACGAGGACTCTGACCTCATCTGCAAATTAATTCAATGATGGATTCATAATTTAAATGGACTCTCTAAGAAAGTGGTGGAAATTGTAGGAAGTGTGACCCAGTTGAAGTGAGTGTGTGTCTCTGGGGACTGTATCCTGTCCCTGGCCTCTCCTCTCTCTCCCTGCTTCCTGGCTGTCATGAGATGCTCCTTCATGCCTCCCTTCTGCCATTAAGTTCTGTCCTCCTGTGCCCACAGTAACAGAGATGGCTGTCTACAGACTGAAGCCATGAGCCAAAGTAAATATTTTCCTCCTTTAAAGTTGTTTTTCTCGAGTACTTTGTCACAGTGACGGAAAGCTGACTACCACAGAAGCCACGCTAGGTTTTAGCAGGGTGATGGGCTAGTGTGACGTAGTGAGAGGATCACTCCTGTTGCTGGGCTGTGAATAGACATAAGGGAGAGGTAGGGCAGAAACAGGGACACTGGTGAAGAGAGGGGATTGCTAGATCCCAGATGGGACAGGGGACCGTGGCTTGGTGTGTCTGGCAGCTTCCTGTTACCGTAACACCTACCTGAAAAAAATCCACTTATAAAGAGAAGTGGTTTATTTTGGCTCAGAGTTTTGGTGTTTCTGGTTTATGATTGATGGGTCCCGTTGCTTTGGGCCTGTGGAGAGGCAGCTCTGAAGGCAGGAGCGGTGGGGGAAGCTGCTCATCTCGCAGCAGGGAGCGTCACAAGAGGAAGAGGGTAGCCAGGGTCCCACACCCACCAATCTAAGACCTCCTACAGGCCCCACCGCTTGGCATTTCCACCACCTGCCCAGAGCCCCAAGCTGGGTACTAAGCTCCTACACAGGGGCCCCTGGAGCGCGTGACAGATCCAAACTACAGCCCTCGGTCTGGGAGCCAGGCTGGGGCACTGCACAAATCTGGAGGGCGCCCTGTGCTCTAGGGGTGCTCAGGAAGGTGTGGGGAAGCATCCCGTGGAGGACTCTGGGTGAATATACTAAGAGTGGGTGTGGGGCGTGAGGGAGGGATCAAGGTTGATCTCCAGCTGTTGGTCTTGAACAGCTGGAGGGGTTTCTGGCTGCCCCGGGGCACACAGAGACACAGGGACAGTGGGAGAAATCCTGTCCTGTGCTGAGTCACGGAGATCATCCCTCCTAGACTCTTCTAAACCACTTCTCGGTTTGCTTTTCTCATTTAAGCCCTTAATCTGCCTGGAGTTGATTTCTGCCTTGGTGTGAAGTGGGGATTCGTTTTTAATCCCTTCTTTCTGCGGATTCCTCTTACAGAAGAGTTTCTCGGTTCCTCTTACAGAAGAGTTCCGCCTTGCCCCAGTGACCTGCAGAGGGGCTTTTGTCATCTGTCAAGTTTCCACATGAGTGTGGATGGGTTTCCAGCCCTCCCTCTGTCCAGGGGTCTGATATTACACTCTCAATTCCCAGGTGTTGGGTGGAGTCCGACATCTGCTCACCTGTTACCTCCTGCACCCCCCACTGCCACCAGCGGCCTGTGGCCTGCGTTCCTCTTGCGCACACATTTCAGAATCAGCTTGTTGGGTTTTTTTTTGGTGCTGGGGGATTTGAACCCAGGGCCTCACACATGCCAGCAAGCACTTTCACGCTGAGCCACATCCCCAGCCCCTGGATGGGATTTTGATTGGAAGTGTATTGAATCTCCAGTTCAATTTAGGGGGTGGGTTGTCAGCTTTAGGATAATAAAATTTCCAATTTATAAATGTGGTTGGTATACAACTCCACTAATTTAAAATTCTCTTCAATATCAATACCGTTTTGTAATTTTTTTTCTTTTTTTAAAATTTTGGTGATGGAGCTGGGGATTGAACCCAGGGCCCTGTACATGCAAGGCAAACACTCTACCAACTGAGCTACATCCCCAGCCCTCTGGTAATTTTTTTCTATAAAGATTGTGCAGTTTTTTATTAGATTTCTTTAGGAAAATCTCTCTTATTTTTATTAAAATTGTTTTCCATTCACTAGAAATGGTATCTTTTTAAAAACTGGATGTTCTGGGGCTGGGGATAGAGCTCAGTGGTGGAGTGCGTGCTTAGCATGTCTGAGGCCCTTGGTTCAATCCCCAGCATCAAAAAGAAATAGTCACGTTTTCTCACTTTGCGGTTTTTATTTTTGTATATTAATCTTACATCCAGAAGCATGCTCAGCTCACCTACTAGTTCCAGTAACCGTTGGTAATTCTCTGGGGCTTCTTTGGGGTCGTGAGAACGGCTACCTTTAGGGACCACATGCAGTTCTGCCGGGCCCCGCTCTCAGTACTTGACAGTTTCATTTTTATAAGAATCCTGGGTGTAAATGCTGCAATTCCCCCTTTTTTTTTTCAGATACGAAAAAAAGAAAATTAGAGGCATAGAACAATTTAAAAACTTGCTTAAGGTCACAGGAAACTGGTGTTTGAGAGCCCAGGCTGTGCCCAGGGCCAAGTTCTCTCTCCCTTTCTACCTGTTTCCGCCTTTCTAAAGTATGACTGCAGCAGCAGCAGCTGCCCGCAGAGTTTTTAAGATAAAATGTCAATAATCGTATCATGCTTAGATCTACTAATAAGGCACGTCCGAGCGGTGATGTGGTTAAGGAACCACAGAAGAAGGACAGAGAAGGTGGATGGCCACTCTGGTGCGGGGCTGGCTGGGGCTGACCTTTTCCCGGCTGCGGTTTGAGGCCCCAGGACACAGGGTGGGTGGGTGGGGCCCTAAGGTGGCCTGGTGTGTTTCTGTTCCTGTCATCTTGTCTGATGTCAGGGGCCTGGAGCCCAGCGTTCCTTCCTGGGTGTTTTTGTGGGGTCCACAGAGCCCCCACTGAGACCATGCTGTGCATTCTGAGGGCCAGGGATCCACCATCCTGCCAGCACCCCCCTGGCTTCCTGATGATCCAGGTTTGGGGGTGTCCTCTGCAGCACGTCTCCTCTTGGTACCCGTCAGCCCTCTGAAGGCCTGGGGTCGGGGCTCTGGGATGGTCCTCTCTCCACTGCCCACACCCGGTCTCCAGAAACATCCGTGCACCCTGCAGTGTGAGGCACGGCTGGCCATGGCTGGTCAAAGCCTTGGTGGCCCCCGAGCCCTTGTCTATAGACAGCCTCCCGAATCGGCCTCACAAGCCCCCACGAATCAGACTTGAGGTGAAAGGGGGAGGTGGTCACCACCTCCACCTGGGCAGGCGCGACTCAGAGCCTTGAATACCGCGGAACCCTCTCCGGTTATCCTGGCCGGATGGTTTTCCGGTATCTGGCCATCTGACGGCACCTGTCAGACACCTCCTGTCAAGTCCCACCCGAGGAGCGGGTTTCTGGGTGGCTTTGATCTGTGACCGTGGACAGGACTGAAGAAAGGCTTCAGCCCAAACTTAGCATTCTGTTACATAAGCACGTCCAGTCAGAGACACCAAACTCTAAAGATGGCTTTAAACACGGCTTCCAGCTCCACGGGACACCTGCAAGGGACACAGCCCGGGACGGGTCCCGTCCTTTGAAATGGTTGAGGGGTGCTTATAGGCCGACTGGCGGTCACCTTTGTGGATGACCTGCATGTGCCTGAAATGACCTCCTGAGTCCAGGGTTCTGCGTTTGCTGATAGAATAGAGCAGGCTTGTCACTCACTCTGCCCTGATTTTGTCACGCCTTGTAAATACTCTGTGCTTGATCTCGTAATTACTGAGAGCTCTTTGCACTCTCCCTCTGCGATGGCAGATCTGCCTATTTTTCCTGGTAGCTCTGTTGATTTTCCTCTATTTGGAGATTATTTCAGTGCAGCAAGTTTAGAATTATGGCGTCACTTTATTGAATTGCAACTTTTTTTTTTTTTTTTTTAATATCTCGCAGGCTGTTGCCTGATGGTCTATTTTGTCTGCTCCAAATAGAGCTGGACCAGATTAGTTTTGCTTAGTATTTGGTTGCTGGATCTCTCTCCATCCCCCGGTTCATCTTCTCATTGTGTGCTTTAAAAAAAGTGCTCCTTAGGTAGCATGTATCTGGAAGATGTTTTCTCCTCTAGTCCGATGAACTGTTGTTTGACCAATGGGCATATCCATTTATATTTATTCTACTTGCTGATAGATTTGGATCTATTTCCATGACCTTATTTTGTGTTTTCTTTTGATTTTTTGGATTTCCTTGAATTTTCTTTTCCTCTCAATCCTGCACGTATGTACTTGGGGCTGGGCCTTCACCTAGGGCCTCCACCCTAGGGCCTCCACCCTAGGTCCTCCACCCTAGGTCCTCGCGCATGCTCAACACCTGCTTGACCCCCGAGCCCTCTCGGTCACTTTCTGTCCTTTGCTGCTCTTCCTGTTCCTGTAGTGGTTACCTTTGAGATTTTTATGGGCATGGCTAGTAACTTCTAAAGTTAATCAAGGTATTTAGGTTTTCACGAACACTACAAGGACCATCGAAGGCTTTAGCTTTACCCTCCCACTCCTTCCTCAGTCTGGAGGTTGGTATGTTCCAGAATTTTCCACGTGAGCAGCATAGCTTAAGCTGTGGGGCTGAAGCACAGGGTCTGGGTTGGGATCCTAGACCTTTCACATACCAACTGTGTGGCTTGAGACGAGTTACTTAACCTTTCTGTGCTTCAGTGACCTCAGCCGTAGAATGAGGATAGTAATCATAATTACTTCTTAGGTGGGTGAGAGGATTCAATAAGCAAGTTCATATGAAGGCCCTAGAACTGTTCTTAGCACTTGGTAGATTTTCAAAAATGTCTATTGGCCCAGAGGTGTGGCTCAGTGGTGGAGCCATAGAACTTGCCCTGTACGCCTGAGGCCCTGGTTCCCTCCCCAGTACTGGGGGAAAAAAGGGTAGAGAATGGGGTATTTTGGGGCTAACATTCTGCCACTGAGCTGTCCCTCCATCCTCTGTTTCTGGTCACTTAAGTCCTTGCTATCTTTGGGGATTTGGTCCTCTGATAGATGTTTCTGCCAACTTGTGACCATGGTACCTACCTCCTTGGGCATGCTTTAATTTTATGTATTGAGATGAATTTTCTAAAATACAGGTATTAAACAGCACCTGTCGGATGCTCTGATGAATGCCCAATCATTTAACCTTTCCAACTTTGCCAGAGAATGTTACTCCCTGGTGTAGAAGAAGACACTGAGGCGCTGAGAGCGCGACCCTTGTCCACAGATAGTAGAGCTGGGGTTTGAACCCCGACCTGCTCTACGCTGAGCCCCTCCCTGCACCCCTTCATGGCCACAACCCAGCTCAGCAGTGGAAACTGAGGCCCAGCCTCCCGGCTGTGGACACTGAGGTGTTCTTCGCGGTATCCCACAGGGCCCCCCCAGGAGACCAAGAGTCTCATGAAGGCCTCCTACACGCCAGAGGTGATTGAGAAATCGGTGCGAGACATAGGCCACTGGCACGGCAGGAGGACGGACGACCTGGGTAGGTGGGGAGCTGGGGAGGGACGGGAGCTGGGCCTGAGGTCTGGAGAGAAACCAGAGCAGGAACAAGAGCCCTGGGTGGACCTGGAGGGGCTAGGGGTCACCCCTGGGGCCTGGGCCCTCCGGAGGCTGCTGGTGACCTGTGCCTGCTTCCCTCTCCTCTCTGTAGGACGGTGGCACCAGAAAAATGCTATGAACATGAACTTGCAGAAAGCGCTGGAAGAGAAATACGGAGAAAAGAGCAAAGCCAAGAACTTGAAGTTCTAGAGAGGCAGGAGGGCAGGTCCTGCTGGTGCTAATAAAGGAAGGCACAGATCTGAGCCGGCTCCTCGCGCGGCGCCCTGGGGTCCCACAGCGTCCCTGGACCTCCACCCTGCACGCGTCCGCCTCTCACAGTCCCTGTGATCCCAGGACTGGGAGGAGAGTTGGGTGGGACTGTCTGAAGCCCAGTGTGCCCGCTGCTCACCCACCCAGGTCCTGGTGGGCACACTGGGCACGTGCTCCCGTCCCGGGACCTGGTTTGCTGTGCTCCAGTTTATTACCCGCCGTGTGCAGCAGGGCAGGCTCCGCAGCCCGCCTCCTTTCTGCTCCGGGTGGCATCTGTCCTGAAGGTGGCCTGGGCTCCCACAGGCCTGCTGTGTGAGCTGCAGTGACTTCTGGGGCTAGGGAGGGGACCCCAGCAGGGGCAGGCTGGCCTGGCTGGCCCTCCCCGGGGCCTCTCTCTGAGGCTGTCTTGGGCTTCTGGTTCTAAGCAGTCTCCCAACAGGACAAGATCCAAGTGCGAGGGCTTATCCAGGTCTGCACGTGGAACTGACCGGTCAGCATGGCCAAAGGGACACACGGTCACGCTCAGACTCTGCAAGGAAACTCCAGGAGGAGTCGTTCTGGGTGGACGGGGTTCACTGGAGACCACTGGAATAGCGTCTAGCGGGTGACCCTCTTGCTGTGGAAAAATCAAAGCGGAGGGAAAACTCAGTCATTGCCAGGAGAAGGGGAGCCATGTTCCCACTCTTCTCCCGACCACCCCCTTTCCCCCCAAAGGAAATGACTCTAAGATGAGGTGGGTTCAGGTGCAGGACAGGCAAGTGGTTTGACTTGATTTAACATGAGGCTCTAAGCGTGCTGCTTCCTTCTTGGGTAGCTAGATTTTTCTTGGTGCTGGGAAAGCCGGACCCTCCCCCTCCTCCTCCTGGGAGCATTCAATTGAGCTATGTCCTTGCCCTTTTAAAGCTCTTACTGGGAGGCAGGGTCTTGCTAAGATGCCCAGGCTGGCCTCAAACTTGCATGAACTTCGCCTTATTAAGTAGCTACTGCGTGCCTGGTACACAGGCTCCTGACAACGGAGTCACCCAAGGGGTCACTGCTCAGGTGGTGACTGCTCCACTATCCCTGGTGCAAAAAATTGTTCACGCGCCACGGGCCTAATGCACATAACCTTGCTTCATCCTGACACCAGCCCTGAAAGCTGCTGTCACCCCCTCCTGAAGATGGGAGAGGCCAGGAAAGCGGCACAAGGTCATCCCCATAGGCAGCTGGGTCAAGGTAGCCGCCTCCAATGAGGCCATTTCCTACTCCACCAGCTGATCATGCCCTGGTGTCACCAGACGTGCTCTGAGCCTCACAAATGCTCAGCCCTGTTAGGTGCCATGGGGAGGGCCGTATGGGTGCAATGCAGCCCTGGACCTCAGAAATTTCCAGTCTGATGCAAAAGAAGCTGGTTCTGAGGCTCTTTGGCAACCAACATGGACCGAGCACCTCCTCCTGCCCTGCCCTGCCCAGTGAGCTGGGAATGCAAAGGTGATAAGACGAGGCACCTGTCCTCAGGCACATCAGTAACTCGGTGCCCAGGAGGTGACACAGGCATCAGGTTCATACAGTGAAAGCGAGGAGGAGAACGAGGTGTCACCTGCACTTGGGCTGGGCAGGGCCGCTGGTCACGCACCAGGCTTCCCAGAGGAGGCAGCTCTTGAGATGAATCTTGGGACATGGGCAGGTACATTCAGGAGGACTGAAAGGGGTGTCCTTCCCAGACAGAGGGTGAACCCAATCCCAGCAGGGTGTATTTGGGGAGCTATAGGTGGCTCAGGAAGACGGGAAGATGGGGCTCCAAGGAGGGATCCAAGGGAGGTGGGAATGGCAGGCAGAGCTGGTGCCCAACGGGCTGGGCCCCGAATTCATACCCAGTCCCCCTCCGAGGAGTGTGCAGCCTGGGTGAATGTCAGGGGTTAATGACTGAAGAAGCCGCATGGGGAAGTTGAAAATATGCTCAATATTCCACATAATCAGATGCAAATTAAAACAATGCATCAGATTGACAAATGTTTAAATGCAAATGTAGTCAAAAATGAGGGAAGCGGAGACTCTCGTGCATCCAATGAATTAGGAGCCAAGAACAACCCGGGAGCCTTTGGCAAAACGGAAATGCTCTCTGCAGCCTGGAGAAGGCCTTCCTCAGGCCCAGGGCGAGCTCTGCACGCATGGAGGCTCCCTGGCGGGGCTGTAACGGGAGGGACCCTGCGTGTCCTTCAATAGGAGAGCAGACAAACGGTAGTCAGGGCGATGGCGAGGGACAAGCCACACACTCAGAGGTCCCTCTGTACATCACAATGGGCGGAAATGACTGTCCGCAGAAGGAGCCGCTGTAGGAAGTGCCCGTCCGCCTGGGAGAGGACGGAGAGCGGCTTGAAGATGCTACTGGAGCCTGACGTCACGTTCCACTGAGCACTTTTCGGAAACAGCCTTGCGGGAGCTGCCAGGACGCCTCCAAATGAGAGAACTCAGATGCCACCGAGAGTGACCTAGTGACACGATGCTGGAGAGCTGGTCTAAGCGAGAAATTCCCATTTGGACATGAGGGAAGCAATGTGGCATGGTTTACGGCTCTGCCTCCGTTAAAGATGCCTCCAGAACATCCAGAGGAAAAAGCCTTTTCAATCAAGCTGAAGCTGTGACCCCTGGTGAAGTAAACAAAACATCATTTAAAAAATTTTTTTAACTTAAAGGAGACCTGGAGGCAACACTGGCGCGCCTCCCAACAGCATTCCCAGCCCTCATGAGCCTCGAGGTCCCTGGATGGTGAAATTCACAGTTTCACAGAGGTGCGTGACCAGGTCTTGGGAGCATTAAGTGACATTGTGAAAAATTCGTCACCCTTCAATCCAGGAAGGGCTTCATTTGCTCAGTGACTCAGAACCCACTTCATAATTCGTGTCATATTCCAATTCACCTAAAAAAGCCACTTAGGATGCTCTGGGCTAGGGCACAGTTGACCAGCTCATCCCTGTCCCTGACTGTCACCTCCTCTTCTAGAGCCCTGTGACCCAAGGATAACTCAACCTGTCTCCTCTATGGTGCCAAACACTCAGCACATAGTAGATGTCAGCAAATACCAGCCACTTGAAAGGCACCTGGACCTGGAGAGGCCCTGGCTTGCCTCCAGCCATTGCCCTGGGCAGTCCCCAAACCTCCCTTGGTGGTACCCCAGCCACGCGGGGGTGTGAAGAGCTGCACAGGGCTAGAATCTGAGGCCAGCTCGCCCCCTGGTGGCAGTGTCTCCCAATCGCAGGCCCAGCGCTTAGGAACCAACAGCCACCAAGCCCCCACCGGGAGGTCCTTCAGACCACTTAGCCACCTCTTTCCACCGCATTGCCACCTGCTCTCCTGCTTCCCACCCACAGCTCCACTTTGTGGATGATGAAACTGAGGCTCCGCGCAACAAATATATGTTTATTCTCCATGAGAACACTCCACGCTGAGAACACTCCACGCTGCCTGCTTTGCAAGTTCCAGCTCCGTGTCGGCACCCGGCAGGCGGATCCTTTTCCTTTGTTGCCCCAGGAGTCGCTGTCCATGCAATAAACAGGAACAAGCAGAGCGGATGCCCAGTCAAGAGGCGGCGTGGGAGGGCCAGAGCTGCGAGGTCCAGCTGGGCCCCCCTTGGAGGTTATTGTAAGGATTTCTCAAGAAAATGTGCCCCCAATTCCCAGGAAGCCCCTGGGAAGAGTAGTGGTGTTTCTCGGGGTGCTTAGATGGACTGCTGTTGCTGTCATTTGGGTGTTGAATGTCCCCAAGGGCCAGTATTAAAGGCTTGGTCCCAGTATTAAAGGGGGCACCTTAGGGAGGTGGCAGAACCGTTAGGAAGTGGGGCTTGGTGTGAGCTTCTTGGGTCACTGGGGCTGTGCCCTTGAAGGGGATGGTGGAACTCGGGTCTCTTCTTTTTGTTTCTTGGCCACGAGGTGAGCAGTTAGCTCCCTCTCTGTGCTCCCCCTGTGGCTGTCCGGGCATCCCCACCAGAGGCCCAATGCAGCAAGTCCACTTGGTTGGGGACTGGAACAACTCCTTCACTGAGAAAGGAGTGAGCCCACCTCAGGACGAGGGGGCACATGGCTTTTGTGGCTGGCATGACACCACTCCGCCTGAGTGAGGGCACCCAGCCTCCTGAGAGCCTTTTTTACAACCAACGAGAGGGGTTGGGGGACTGTTCAGGGAGCCCCTCCTGTCCAGGTGTCTTTCCGGTGAGCCTACTATGTGCTGAGTGTGTGGCACCATGGAGGAGACAGGGTTGAGTGACAGTGGGGACATTGATGAGCTCAGTGCAAAGAAGAAAGCGTCAGGAGGAAGGGTACAGCTTGGAGCCTCCCGGGGGTGGGGGGGTGGGAGCTGGAAGCACAGCCCAGGCCACAGGCCACCTGAGGTCAAGGTTGCAGGAGCCCTACGTCAGCACAGGGTCCTGTGCAGGGTAGAAGGTTTCAGATCTCTGGGGAGGGGAGAGAAGGGAGTTGGTGACCTGGTGACTGGGTCTTTTGGAGGTCACAGGTGAAAGGTTTTGCTGCCTCCCCTCCTGCCAGCCTGTTCCTACAGCCTGTCCCTGCTGCCATCTCCAAGTCCCTGCCTGGCCCCTGTGCAACCAGCCCCCATGATTCCCAGGTCCTTCCGTTCATGCATGTTAACCCACGATCTTTGTTAAATAAACATCAACAAGCCTTTGTGTAGGGTCCACAGGAGGAAGCTCACTTGGAGATTCCCAAGTTCAATGCTAGTCTTTAAATTCTTCTGGGTAACAAAGAGTCAGAGAGTGTTCGGCCCCGGGTGGAGGAAAGGAGCTGCAGATAGATTCTGTGAGATTCGGTAAGAGCCGGGCACTGCCCACAAGGAAAACGACCCCGAGTAGCACTTGCAGGTGGCCGCCTGCACAGGGCCTCCTGTGCTGCGGACCACAAGCCACTGGACCTCCGTGCTCCCCTCCCCCCACAGAAGGAGGCTGAAGGCAGAGGCTGGAGTCTTTAGAGGTTCCCCTGGGTCTCCCCACATGGACAGAGAA